ATGGAGGGCTCAACGTGGTAGCCTACCAGCTAAAGTCCTTGCCTTGCATGAGCCAGGATCCCATATGGGTGCTGGTTCTAATCCCAGCGGCCACGCTTCCCATTCAGCTCCCTGCTTGTGGCCTGGGAAAACCGTTGAGGACAGCCCAAAGCTTTGGGACCCTGCACCTGCATGGGAGATCCGGAGGAGGCTGCTGGCTTCAGATTGGCTCAGCTCCTGGCTTTGGATTCGCTCCTGGCATTGCAGCTGTTTGGGGAGTGAGTCAATAGATGGAACATTTTCCTCTCTGTCCTCCTCTCTGTATAAGAAAAAAAAATTTTAAAATAACTTTCCAATTAAAAAGATAATTTTTAAAATAAAATTTTAATATATTTTTTAAATTGGGAAGCCAGATATACACTGAGGAGGAGAGACAGAGAGGAAGATCTTTCGTCCAATTTTTTACTCCCCATGTGACCCCAACGGCTGGAGCTGCGCTGATCCCAAGCCAGGAGCCGGGAGCCTCTTCCAGGTCTCCCATGAGGGTGCAGGGTCCCAAGTCTTTGGGCTAACCTCGACTGTTTTTCCCAGGCCATCGGCAGGGAGCTGGATGGGAAGCAGGACTGTCATGATTAGAACCAGCGCCCATATGGGATTCTGGCACATTCAAGGCAAGGACTTTAACCACTATGCTATCACGCCGGGCCCAAAAATCATTTAAGAAAATAGAATGCTGGACACCGAAGGCAGAGGGGAGGGTGAAAAGGCAATTGGGTACAGAGTTTCTATTTGTAAAATGAGGAGCTTCTGGAGATATAAGTGAATTATGGCGGCATAACAATGTAAGTACCAGTAAACTGTAGGTACAAAAATGGTTACAATGTTAAACGTCACGCATGCGCAGAAGCAATTCTAGGAAGGTTCCGGTGTGGGCAACGAGCCTGTGCTTCTCTCCTTCCCTGGCCAGTTAAATTCTACCTTCAATATGATGCTGACGGGCTTGCATTACTCCCATATGCCTATGAATAGACAGTAAACATTGCTTGGAGAGGGTCTGTCCAAATACACAGACCCACCCCAAGCTTCTCACACAGACGCCGGGCTGTCTACCCCACGTATTGAAGGGTCAGAGACTCAACACTGAAAGGCAGGCAATTCCATCGCTTTCTATGATAATGAAAGCTCAGCAGGGTATCTAGCTCAAAAGCACAGTATGGGTAAACCGTGATTTCTTAACTGGAAAGCAGACCTGCGCCGCTCCCGAATACTTATTTTTACCCAGGACCAATGCTCTGAGTAGGCTGAAAGCATTCCAAACAGGGCTGCGCAGCAAGGACAATGCACAGGGCAGAGGGTGGGGATGGGGTCCTAATTCAACAGGCTTTACAGGTTATAAGTCCACGTTTCCGTCAAGAACGGCTTTAGGGATACAAAAATTGGGGTAAGGTCTGAATTGATTCCAAAAGACAGCCCAGGCGGCGCACAGGCCCAAAGCAAAAGGGATGCAGGTGAGGGCAGCCCTGGGTGAGCCGATGCCAGGAGCTACAGTCCACCGGCACTTGAAGCCGTCCCCCTGGCTCGCACAGGAAGCCCCCGGGCCCCCCGCGCTTTGGGGCGTCCAGAACCTCGCGGGCCACCCTGGGTCCAGATCCCACGCAGGCCCCGGTCGCTCCTGTCTCCAGAACTGGCTTGGCGAGACGAATCGGGGCCCTGACACCCTCTGCGCTACTCCGGGCTCAAGCCACAAGGCGGGTACAAAAGGCTGGGTACCCCAGGTCCCCCTCACCTACCACATACCCCTGCCCACGCCGGACTGCAGACGCCGGACTGCAGACGCCAGACTCTGCTCCGCAGCCGTCAGCCAGGAAGAAACGCGGAGAGGCGGAGACTCCGAGTGACGGAGCCTAGGACTCCACCAATTACCGTCCTCTCCGGCCATGTTGTGTAAGTGGATTGGTCAAACGGAGGCCGGGGCAAAGTGAAAAGCAGAGAGCGGCGGAGGGGCAGTGGTTGCCAGGAAACGGGGTGTCCGGCATGCGGGATTCCGCCCCTCTCTCCCCACGGGTCGGTTTCGTGGCGTGTAAAGCTTGGGGTTCTAGTCCCGAATCCGTTCATCCCTCCCAAAGCAAGTTCCCCTCCTTGGCAGTTTTCTGGGGGCAAGTTACCTGTCTGAAAATTTGTCCCCTTTGCTATCTGGGTAAAGCTCTTTTGGTGGCTTCTTTGCTTTCTCTCACTGGACGCAGTGCCAACTGGCAGGCTGAATTTCTGAAGCTTTGTCTCGCACGTTCAGTCAGGCGGTCCCCACGACCTCTCAGCAATTAAGTCACAGGAACAGGCACTGTCATAAGCTTGTGAGAACTTCATCCAGCGACTCTCTGGCCTCATGACTTGAGCTGTTTTCTTTGCCCTAGATTTCTAGGCATTTCGATACTCCCTGGATAAGGGTGCCATTGCCAGTGGGCACAAATAGCCCAATGCCCAGGGAGTTACGTTTACAACTTGAACTTATTTATAAATATAAAAGTTAGTATTTACTGATGCCCTATGTGTCTGATTCCTGCAGTTCAAACTGGATGCATTGATTTCTCCCTCTCCCAGGCTGCCCGCCTGGGAACCATGGGAAGCCAGCAAACAGCCCTCTAGTCAGACTGTTTCATTGCCGTGTATTCAACGTCAGCATGCTCGTAAATGTCTCCTTGGCTAGCCCATGCTTTTCATCAGGGACAATGTCTTTCTGAGGTTCCTGTCTGTACTCGGGGTCTGGAAAATGTTCAGAAATTGCTTGGGAGGTGTGTGTGTGGCAGAGTGAATTAAGCTTTCTGTGATGCCAGCAACTTGTATCAGAAAAAGGGTTATAATCTCAAACCATTCCCAAGCCAGCTCCCTGCTAATGTGACTGGAATACAGCAACAGAAGATGACACATATTTGGGCCCCATCACCTACCTGGGAGCTGGGACGAAGTTCCTGTTTCCTGGCTCGGCACCAGCTGTTGAAGCCATTTGGGGAGTGAACCAGATGATAGACAATCTCTGCTTTTCAAGTAAATAAGTATTTTTAAAAAAGAAAGATAGGGCCCAGCACGATGGCCTAGTGGCTAAAGTCCTTGCTTCAAATGCGCCACGATCCCATATGGGTGCCAGTTCTAATCCAACATCCTGGTCTGGGATGGTCCAAAGCCTTGGGACCCTGCACCCATGTGGGAGACCTGGAAGAAGTTCCTGGCTTCCTGGCTTCAGATTGGCTCAGCACCAGCTATTGCAGTCTTTGCAATAAATAAATAAATATTTTTAAAAATAAAATAAAGAAAGATAATGTTGTTCTTTTATATAAGGTGCCACCCTCATGGTGAATTTCTTCTAGTGCCATCTCTCCTCTGAGGTGCTATCTTCCCTTTGAAGCAGTTCAGCTCTGATGTTCTCCAGTTAATGGGAAGGTTGATGCCCTAAGGAGTGAGTTGGCCCTGAGGCTTCTCAGCACTTGCCATTTCCAAGCTTTGGGTACCACATACAGCAGGGAGTAGCATCTACAATCCTTCGAGTAGACTGGTGAGACTGACCACTTGCAAAAAAGACTTCCCTTCATTTTGCCTCTCCAGAGAGCTAACACACACACACACACACACACACTCTCTCTCTCTCTCTCTCTCTCTCTCTCTCTCTCTCTCTCTCTCTAACAATGCCCAAGTCAGCATTCACATTGTCAGCACTGCTGTCTCCTGAGCTGGACTGGACACTTGTCCCTTTTTTGGCGCCCTAGCAGCTAACTGCTTCCTTATTTAGAAAAATTCCATTCTAGAAACTAAAGTGAGTACAGTTCTTCCCTCTGCAGGCACTGGGGAAGAGAGGACTGAGAGATGTGACCAGGCTTGGGGATGGGGGCTCTCCTGTTAGGTTCTGAGCCTGGAGATGTGTAGGGAGGTTTGGGGGACACAAGTTGTGAAAGTGTGCAGCATCCTTGAGCCCAGTGTCCCTGCTGGTGTCAGGCAGCTTGTTCTCAGATACCTTGGTTTTCCTTGACCTGATGCTTTTCTGGGTCTATTTCCAGCTCTCCTGTGAATTTTATGAGGCACTAATATTCCCTCAGTAACCCCCTGTAGTCAAGTTAACTAGGGCTGGTTTCATTATTTTGCTTTTAAGAAACTTATTCACTTGCAGATTTAAGGATGTGAACATATGGGAAGCAAATGGGAACTCTCATTCTCATGCTGTCAGGGCAGTCTGTGCAGGTGCAACAGGTAAAAACATCACTTCTGTTTTAAATACATAGGCATCTGTAACAGCTTTAGTGGGATACATCACATACTATAGTAGCTACTCTTAAATGTACACTTCTTTTTTTTTTTTCATTAATTTACAGAATCTAGCAACTGTCATTTGGGTTTCCTGGTTGATTTGTTTGAATAAAGCACCTTTCAAGTGTCTCCACATTTCCAAGACACAGTGAACCACCACAGCCTTTTTTTTTTTTTTAAAAAAAGATTTTTAGATTTTATTGGCAAGGCAGATTTACAGAGACAGAAAAAGATCTTCCATCTGCTGGTTCACTCCCCAAATGGCCAAAATGACTGAGGTGAGCCAACACGAAGTCAGGAGTCTCTTTCCCGGTATCCCACATGGGTTCACCATCACATGGTCTTCAGCCATCTTCTGCTGCTGCTTTCCCAGGCACATAAGCAGGGAGCTGGATGGGAAGTGGAGCAGTCAAGACACGAACTCGCGGCCTTACAGAAAGCTGGCGCACCTCACCCCGACCCCCAACCCACCCTGCAACCGTGTGGCTTTTATATGGAGCAACCCCAAGTAACCCCAGGTGTGAGGGTGTCCGCATGGGATCATTTGGCTCTGCGCACGGTTCCTGCCCTCACTTGGTTTGATTCAAGTCACTCCCTCATTCACGCCCTCGTTCACGCCCTCCCCTCAGACTCCGCCTTGGCTCTGGGCCTCACTGATTGGCTGGTGTCGAGTGACGTATTCAGCCCGCGACCTCGCAGCCGCGGTGGCGGGGCTATGTGGCTGGGTGGTTGCCGCTGGCTTGGGGTTCAGGTGCAGTGGCCCTTCCACTTGCTTCCTCGTTACTTTACCAAGTCCTGCGTTGGCTTCTGGAGCCGAATGGCAGAAACACTGTCCGTCGAGGCCGAGGCCGCGGCCGCGGGCAGGCTCAGGACTCCCGCTGAACAAAACCGAGCCGCTGGTGAGGACGCTAGGGGCGACCCGCTCCCGGGGCAGGAGGCGCCGGCCGTGGTGCCGGCTCCGGGGAACGGGGAGCAGACCCCGGAGGGCGGAGAACAGGCCTCGGCTGCAGCCCTGGGCCCCGGCAAGCGGAAGAAGCGTCGGGGCGCCGCCGGGGAGCGCGTGGTGCCGCCCCCGAAGAAGCGGCGGACGGGGGTGAGCTTCAGCGACGAGCACTTCGCAGAGACCAGCTACTACTTGGAGGGCGGTCTGCGCAAGGTGCAGCCCTATTACTTTGATTTCCGGACCTACTGCAAAGGCCGTTGGGTGGGCCGCAGTTTGCGGCACGTCTTCAGCACCGAGTTCCGAGCCCAGCCCCTGGCTTACTACGAGGCAGCGCTCCGGGCGGGCCGCCTGCACCTCAACGAGGAGCCAGTCCGGGACCTCAGCATCGTGCTCAAGGTGGAGTCTTCACGGGGTTGGCCAGAGGCCGGCGAGGGCAGGGGACAGGGGTCCTGGGGCCAGCTGTGGTCAAGCGAAAGCACTGTCACTTGAACCTAGGTCTTTCTTCCAACCCTTCTTCCTCCTCCACCTCCGCAAGTGGACAGCGTGCCTGTCTGCTTGCACAGCCCACCCCGAAGTCTTGGAGGCGCCTTCCTGATTGCCACAGCAGCAACACTTGGAATTCTCATTGTTCCTTTTATGCGCTGTGGCAAGGGCACGGATTACTTCGTAACCCATATTGTCTGTGACTCCTGTGTACTGGATTCAAAGTTAAACGTTGTGTGTACTTATGACAGCTTTATGGGGTAGCTACTGCTACTCCTTTATACCTGGAAGGACACTAAGGACCTCACATCCTGTGTTCTGGGTAGCTGTCACGCAATCCATTCACCATTCAGCCTGAGCCTAGGGAGTTGCAGAGTTGCAAGGTGATGGGGACAGACCCAAGACTTGTATAGCCTGCTGCCTTAACCCCTTAAGATTCCATTGCAACTAACGAGTACCAGACACTCCTGTGTGGTAACACTGGCTCGCTGCCACAGTGAGGGAGACAGGATGATCCAGTGTTTGGAGAATAGATGGTTTGAATTCCTTGCATCCCAATATTGAAAGGTGCAGCAAGGGCCTGCCCTCAGTGGGACTTGTCCCAGGACCCTGAGGGAGCCTGTGACAGAGCCAGCTGTGGAGCCTAGGTCTCTGGACTCATCGGCCTGGTATTGTCTGCTCAAAGTCATGCTGTAACTGGTGACTGCTTTGTGAAGGTTTTCTTGTGGTAGCAGGTAAGGTATTCCTTGGGCCAATGTGTCCTGTGTCAGCGTCTGCTAACAGACAGCTCAGCTCCTGCTCACAGCCTGCTTGTGGGTCTTCTGAGGGGCCGCAGGTGATGGCTCAGTCATTGGGTCCCCGCCACTTCTGATAAACTAGCTAGACTTTCAGACTGTAGGCTTCTGTCTGCCCCTGCCTGGTGCAGGGATTTGAGGGGTGAACCAATGGGTAGAAGTTGTCTCTGTTTCTGATTTTCTTTCACTCTGCCTTTCAATTAAATACTTTTAATGTAATTTAAAATACATATAACCTTGGGGAGGAAAAGAATCTTGATATTAAAATTGTATCCGTGAACTACATTGAATCTATTAACACTAATAAAAGTTTTTAGAAGATTTGTTCATTTTTATTAGGCAGATTTACAGAGAAAAGGAGAGAGAGAGAGAGAAAGAGCTCCCATGCACTGGTTGCTCCCCAAATAGCTGCAATGGCTGGAGCTGAGCTGAGCCGATCCAAAGCCTGGGCTAGGAGCTTCTTCCAGGTCTTCCATGTGGGTGCACGGACCCAAGGCTTTGGGTCAGATTTCCCTGCTTCCCCAGGCCATGAGTTGGGAGCTGGATTGGAAGTAGAGCACCTGGTTCACAAACTGGTTTCCATATGGGATGCTAATGCTGTGCAGGCAGAGGATTAGCCAGTTGAACTATCACTTTGACCCCAAGACTAATAACAGCTTTTAAGAAGGGACTGGTGCTGTGGTGCTACAAACAAAACTGCTTATAGCTCCAGCATTTCATATGGGTGCTGGTTCAAGTCCCAACTGCTCCGCTTCCCATGCATCTTCACATTGATGCACCTGAGAAAGCAGTACAAGATGGCCTAAGTTCTTGAGACCATCCCGGCTCTTGATTTGAGCCTGGCCCAGCCCTAGCCAATGTGGCGTATTTGGGAAAGTAACCAGTGGATGGAGGATCTCTCTATCTGCCTCTTGATCTGTCATTCTGCCCTCCAAGTAAATAAATAAATAAATAAATCTTTTTAAAATATTAAGACTTTTTAGGGCCCGGTATGGTGGCCTAGCAGCTTAAGTCCTCACCTTGAATATGCCTTGGATCCCATATGGGCACCGGTTCTAATCCTAGCAGCCCCACTTCCCATCCAGCTCCCTGCTTGTGGCCTGGGAAAGCAGTCAAGAATGACCCAAAACCTTGGGACCCTGCACCCGTGTGGCAGACCCAGAGAAGGCTCCTGGCTCCAGGCTTTGGATCAATTCAGCTCTGGCTATTGCGGTCACTTGGGGAGTGGATCAGTGGACGGAAGATCCTCCTCTGTCTCTCCTGCTTTCTGTATATCTGACTTTCCAATAAAAATAAATAAATCCTTCTTAAAAATTAAGACTTTTTTTTTCTGTTGCAGACAGAAAAGTTTATTTGCGAAGGTACCAGGTGGGCAGGGAAGGGCGAGGACAGGGGAAAACACCTACAGAGAGAAAGCCGGGAGGTGGGGTGCCTCTCGAAAGGGAGGGAGAGACACCAATTAAGACTTTTTTTTAAAAAGATTAAAATATATTGCTTTATTGTGGAAAAAATAATTGAAAAGCAAAAATCTAATTTTACCATTAAAGTTTTTAGTGTGTGTGTATCCATGGTTTTAAAGAATGAGGTTATATGATGTGCCCTGCTTGTCTGGTTCTGGCTGTGCCGTGACCATTCACGCCAGGCAGGATGGGGGAAGCTGCGTGTGAGGTTGACTGATTGCACGTCTGCTGGCTGACTGGTTCCTATGTCTTTGACAGGACAATGATTTCTTGCGGAACACAGTACACAGGCATGAGCCACCTGTCACAGCAGAGCCCATTCGCCTACTGGCTGAGAATGAAGAAATGGTGGTGGTAGACAAGCCTTCTTCCATCCCTGTTCATCCCTGCGGCCGCTTCCGGCACAACACGGTCATCTTCATCCTAGGCAAGGAGCACCAACTCAAGGAGCTCCACCCGTTGCACCGGCTTGACCGCCTCACATCAGGGGTGCTCATGTTTGCCAAGACAGCCGCTGTTTCTGAGAGAATTCACGAGCAGGTTCGGGATCGGCAGGTGAGCCAGGCGTTATGTCCTGCAGGCCACTTCCTGGATTTACCAGTACTCTGACAAAAGGGCCTCATGGAGTTCTGTTACCTCAAGGGGGCCCTCCAGTTGGTCAACACCTGATATGCCAAAGATAGCTTCTATTTGGTCTTTGTAGCTGGCTTATGTTGCCTGTCTGAGTCACTGGCTGTTGAATTTTAAGACACTGGCAGACTGGGTAAGGTTTTCAAGATTGTAGAGAGAGCCGGCTTGGTGGAGAGGTTCTGGGCAAGGTGGAAGTGTTTAGGATAAAGGAGTGAGGGTGATGGCTGTGGTCCTGTAATTCTGAATTTGGATAGCATATTTGAATGTGTGTGGCTTATTAAGCACAGCAGATTCTGAGTGACTGAATGCTTACAATAGTCCCTCGGAGGTAAGAGCTTTATTATTTTGTTTTAAAAATGATGTATTTGAGGGGCCCTGTCATGGTAGCCTAGTGGTTGGAGTCCTCGCCTTGCATGTACCAGATTCCCATATGGGCACCGCTTCTAATCCCAGCAGTTCCACTTCCCGTCCAGCTCTGCTTGTGGCCTGGGAAAGCAGTGGAGGATGATTTAAAGCCTTGGGACCCTGTACCCATGTGGGAGACCCAAAGGAGCCTCCTGGTTTCTGACTTTGGATTGGCGCAGCTCTGGCCATTGTGGCTACTTAGGGAGTGAATCAATAGATGGAAGATCTTCCTCTCTGTTTTTCCTTCTCTCTGTATATCTGACTTTCAATAAGATCTTTAAAAAAAAAAAAAAGGAAAGATGTATTTTATTATTTATTTGGATGGCAGAATTACACAGACTTTTATCCACTGATTCACTCCAGAAGGCCCCAACCACGAATCCTTGGCCAGGTTGCAGTTGGGAGTCAGGAGTCTGGACCTTCTTTTAAGATTTATTTTTATTGGTAAGTCAGATGTACAGAGAGGCCCCTGATGTCACATTTTCTAGAAAGGTTAGTAAAATTTAAGGAGGTTAAGTGATGTGCCCTGGATCACAGATTTAGCAGATGTTAGAGCGGGATTTCCTCTTCTGTCAGACAGTGGTACACTCCTGCCTGTCAGCAGAGAATTTGGAGTTTTGACTTTGTGCTGACTTTCTCTCTTTTCCCTCCTGTGTAGCTGGAGAAGGAGTATGTGTGTCGAGTAGAAGGGGAGTTTCCTGCCGAGGAAGTGACCTGCAAGGAGCCCATCTTAGTGGTGTCTTACAAAGTCGGAGTGTGCCGCGTGGACCCCCAGGGCAAGCCCTGTGAGACAGTGTTCCAGAGGCTAAGCTACAACGGTCACTCCAGCGTGGTCCGCTGCCGGCCACTCACAGGCCGCACCCACCAGATTCGAGTTCATCTCCAGTTCCTGGGCCACCCCATTCTCAATGACCCCATCTACAACTCAGATATCTGGGGTCCCTCTCGGGGCCGTGGTGGCCACATCCCCAAGACAGATGAGGAACTGCTGCGGGACCTGGTGGCAGAGCATCAGGCAAAACAGAGCCTGGATGTGCTGGATCTCTGTGAGAGTGACCTGCCCACAGCACTCACGGCCTCCTCAGAGTTGGGCAAGGAAAGCATGCAGAAGTTGGCTACGGCTGCCCCGAAGACAGACCAAGTAGTCGTGGCAGCCCCTCAGGATCCAGAGCCAAGGGTCTGGACACCTGAGGAGGTACCTGCAACAAATGGTGCAGATCAGGTGCCAGACCCACTGTGTGCCGAGTGCCGGTTGCGGCACCAGGATCCCTCACCCCGGGAGCTGGTCATGTTCCTGCACGCCTTGCGTTACAAAGGGCCAGGCTTTGAGTACTCTTCCCCCATGCCAGCCTGGGCACAGGATGATTGGCAAGAAGACTGAGGGCTGAGCCATGGAGGGGTTGCTTCTTGGGTTGGGTCAGGTGGGCCTCAGGGCTGGAGCTGGCCCTGTGGGCAGGCACTGTGGAGGAACGGGGTTGGGTTCTGCAGGAATCGGCTCATCACTTGCTACCTCTTCCTGTCCCTCCAGCTAGAATTTGGGGACTTCCTGGTTTTTAAATATATATCCCCTTTTCTAATACCTGGTTTGATTTTTTTTTTTTCTTTTACCTGCTTGCTTCTACTGAGGTAAATTTCACATAACATGAAGTTTAACCACTTGAAGATGTGTAATTCAGTGGTATTTAATATATTCACAGTGTTAAACATCACATTTGGTCCTGGCACGATAGCCTAGTACCTAAAGTCCTTGCCTTGTAGGCACCAGGAACTCATAGGGGTGCCAGTTCATGTCCCAGTGGTCCCACTTCCCATCCAACTCCTTGCTTGTGGCCTGGGAAAGCAGTAGAAACAGCCTAAAGCCTTGAGGCTCTGCACCCACATGAGAGACCTGGAAGGAGCTGGCTTCGGATCAGCTCAGCTCCAGTCATCGTAGCTGCTTGGGGAGTGAATCAGCAGATGGATGATCCTCTGTCTCTCCTCCTCTCTGTATATCTGATTTTCCAATAAAAATAAATAAATCATGTGTATCATATTGCAAAGTCAGATATACAAAGAGGAGGAGAGACAGAGAAGATCTTCCATCCGATGATTCACTCCCCAAGTGACCGCAACAGCTGGAGCTGAGTCAGTCTGAAGCCAGGAGCTAAGAGCCTCTTCCAGATCTACCATGCAGGTGCAGGGTGCCAAGGCTTTGGGCCGTCCTTAACTGCTTTCCCGGGCCACAATCAAGGAGCTGGATGGGAAGTTGAACTGCCGGGATTAGAACCGGCGACCATATGGGATTCTGGCACATTCAAGGCAAGGACTTTAACCGTTACACTATCGTGCTGGGCCCTAGTACAATATTTTAAAGGTTTATCCAGTTTGTAGCATCCATCAATGCTTCACTCCTTTTTTGTGGCAGAGCATTCCATTGTATGTTTATACCGCATTTTGAAAAATTTATTTAAAATTTTGAATTTTATCTTACAATTGTATAGTCTGAGATTCCTTTTCCCCCAGGCAACCCCCAACTGATTTTTCCCATATTTTCACAACAGTATATTTCTTTGTAAGGAGTTAGAATTCCATCAATCTGCTATTTAGGTGTGCCTCGACACTGCTATATGCCACATTTTGTATATCCATTCATCAACTGATGGGCATTTGGGTTTCCACCTTTTGGTTATTATGTCAGTGAGCTACACATATTTATATGCACATGTTTCACAGGAATATTTTTTTCAGTTCTTTTGAATTTATATCTGTGAAATGGCTGAGACATATGGTAATTTCTGTGTTTACTTGTCTTATGGTTTGTTTGTTTTAAACGGAGAGTAACAGATCTTTCGTCCACTGGATGATTCCCCAGGTGCCCATGACAGCCAGGGCTGGGCCAGTATGCTGACAGGAGCCGGTCATCCAGGCCTCTGTGATGTGTGTAACCGGAATCCAAATCCTTGGGCCATCGTCCACTGCTCTCCCAGGTGCTTTAGCAGGAAACTAGATCAGAAGTTAAGGTAGGACTGAATTTCAGGCACTCGAACATGGGTTGTGGGCATCCCACAAGGCAGCGTAACTCACTGTACTGCAGCGCCATCCCAGTAATACAGTATTTAACCTTTTTTAAAAAAATTATTTTTTGGGCCCGGCACGGTGGCTCAGTGGTTAAGGTCCTCGCCTTGCACGCCTGGGATCCCATATGGGCGCCGGTTCTAATCCCGGCAGCCCCGCTTCCCTTCCAGCTCCCTGCCTGTGGCCCGGGAAAGCAGTTGAGGACGGCCCAAAGCTTTGGGACCCTGCACCCACGTGGGAGACCCAAAGAGGCTCCTGGCTTTGGATCGGCATAGTATCGGCCGTTGTGCTCACTTAGGGAGTGAATCATTGGACGGAAGATCTTCTTCTCTGTCTCTCCTCTCTGTATATCCGCCTTTCCAATGAAAAAATAATAAAAATAAATCTTTAAAAAAAAATTATTTTTTTTGAAAGGCAGATTTTTCTCTTTATTTTTTATTTATTTTTTTATTTTTGAGATTTATTTATTTTTGTTGAAAGGATGTTTACAGAGAGAAGGAGAAACAGAAAGATTTTTCATCCTCTGCTGGTTCACTCCCCTTGTAACCACAACAACAGGAGCTGAGCTGATCTGAAGCCAGGAGGTTCTTCCAGGTCTCTCAGGCGGGTGCAGAGTCTCAAAGCTTTCGGCTATCTTCTGCTGCTTTTGGCCACAAGCAGGGAGCTGGAAGGGAATTGGAACAGCTGGGATACAAATCAGCACCCATATGTAATCCTGGCATATGCAAGGCATGAACTTCAGCTGCTAAGCTACCGTGCCAGGCCCTAAGATTTATTTTTATTAGAAAAGCTGATTTAGTTCTCCCTCAAGGGTGCAGTGTCAAGGAATTGGGCCATCCTCTGCTGCTTTTCCAGGCCAGAAATGGAGCAGCCAGGATACAAACTGGTGTCCATATGAGATCCTGGCACTTGCAGGGAGATGATTAGCTAATTGAGTCATTGCACCAGGCCTGTAGGTAGATATTTCTAACCATGGGTTTACCTGCCAAATGTCTAACAGCCAGGACTGAGTCATGTGGAAGCCAGGAACCCAGGACTTGGTGCAGGGCTCGCACAGGAACCCACGCAACTAAGGCTTCATCTGCTGCCTCTAGAGTACACAACAGCAGGAAGCACTCCCAAGTGGAGCCAGGAGCGGACCCAGACACTCTGACAGGGAATGCAGGTCATCCCAAAAAGCACTGTGAGTGTTTTTCCAAACTCCCACCACTATGTTTAACTTTTTGAGAAATCACCGAACTTTTTCATGACAGCTGAACTATTTCCTATTTCCAGTAGAAGTATTTAGTGATTCTGATTTCTATACATCCTCATCAACCTTTGTTCATTTCCTGTATTTTGATTGTAGTCATCCAAGTGAGTGAAGTGATATCTCACTAGTGGATGGTTATTTTGTTGTTATGTTTTAGGTGTTCTGTAGATGTTCTAGATAAGAGATTGCTATCAGTCAAAAGACTAACAACCCAATTTAAAAATGGACAAGGGCCTGGCATGATGTCTCAGTGGTTAAATTCTCACCTTGCAAGTGCCAGAATCCCATTCCAGTTCCCTGCTGATGCATACCTGGGAAGGCAGTAGTGAGGGCTACCATCCTTTGGTCCCTGCCATCCACATGGGAGATGTAGTGAAGTTCTCAGCTTCTGGTTTCCACCCTGCCTAATCCTGGCTGTTACAGACATTTAGAACAAGCCAGCATGTGGGAGGTCTTTCTTTCTGCCTCTCAAGTTTAAAGACTTTTTTTTCTAAACAACATAAAGTAGATGAAAGATCCAAGTGTAAAAGCTGAAATTAAAATTCTTAGAATTAAATATAGAGATCAAGTTTCATGATCTTGGACTTAGTATCCAATTCTTAGATAAAACACTAAGAATATAATCAACAAAAGAAAAAAAAAAGAGGGTTGTGTTGTGGCTTAGTGCTTTAAGCTGGCACCTGCAACATCATCCCATATGGATGCACACTACAGTCCCAGTGGCTCCTCTTCTGAGCCAGCTCCCAGCTAATGTGCCTGAGAGAGCAGTAAAAGATGACTCGAGTACTTGGGTCTCTGCACCCACATGAGAGACCTGAAAGAAGCTCTGGGCTCCTGGCTTCAGCTGTTACATGCATTTGGGGAATGAAATCACTAAATGAAAGGTCTCTATCTCCTTATCTCTGTGTAACCCTGCCAAAAAGTAAGATAAAATGCAAGGGACTGATGCAATGGCTCAATTGGCTAATCCTCTGCCTGCAAACACCAGCATCCCATATGTACATTGGTTTATGTCCCAGCTATTCCACTTCACATCCAGCTCCCTGCATCCTCACAGGAGATCCAGAAAAAAAGTCTCCTGGCTCCTGGCTTCAGATCAGCTCGGCTATGACTCTTTTGGCCATTTGGGGAGTCAGCCAGCAGTTGGAAGATCTTTGTCTCTCTTTCTATCTGTAAATCAGCCTTTCCAATAAAAATAATCTTTTCTTTTTAAAGGAGAAGCTGCTTTATCACTAAAGCAAATGCCTTTCCTTAATTAAAAAAAATTAAGTTGGGCTTCATAAAGGGGAAACTTTCTATGTAGGACAATATCAGTAATGTGAAAAGAAAGTTCCCAGCTATAGCAGCTGCCTAAGTTACCTTGTACCTAGGCAAGTATTACACTGCTGGGAGAAAATCAGCCAGTACTTGGCAACCATTCTGGACCTGGTTGATACCAAATTTGTGTTAACTATGCTAGTGTCCCACCATAGTGGCCTTTTGTTTTTGTTTTTTAATGTGGGGCATGCTTCACAAGCCCCTGGGCAGTGTGGGGGCGGGAGGCTGCAGATTGCCCAGGGAAAGGGGATTGAGGATGTGTGGGAGCCTCTGAATGCATGATGGACAGAGGAGGAATGACTTCTGGAGACTTCCAAGGACTGGACCACTGCACTCACATGTAGACAAGGGAGCTGAGACCAGGTGGTTCAGAGGGCATGTCTGGGGGGTCAGGCCAAGGCACCCACCCATCTGAGAGACCTGGGCTGGGCTAAGTAGTGTCCCCTGCTTCCCACTGGCACACATAAAAATTGTGGCTAGGGAGCATGCCTGGGTAGGTAGGCTGCTCACAAGTGTCAGGGCAGGGTGGTGGGCCATATCAGGCTTAGCCACAGCACCCAGCAAAACGTGAGAGAACCAGATTGGGGGGCAGATTCTGTAGAGGACTTGTGGGCTTACCTCTGTGCGACTGCAGCATCTGCTGGTTTTTGCAGAGTGCTTGGAACAGTAACAGGCCAATAAGGCTGGACCACAAATCTCACCTAACAGCAACTCACATGACACAGAGGTGGAGCTGGGAGAAGGCCAGACTGGGCCAGCTTGCAGCATACACTGGCACAAACAAGAACTACACGGGATATAAGCCAGGCTGAATAGGATTGCAATATCTGCCAGTTCACATGAAGGCCAGGCTGGTAGTGGGCCAGGCTGGGCTAGGCTGCTGCACCTGCTGGTGAGAGCTGGAACTAGGGGTGGCTGGGCCCAACCACTGGCAAATATTGAGACATGCTGGCACATGTAAGACCCTGGGTCTGGGGAGCTGATCAGACTTGGCTAGGATACTACACCACTGGCATGAGAGAGAATCAG